CCCTGTGAAAACCCAAAAGACTCCTTGTTTTGGAGGGTGACCCTTTGGCGGGAGCGGCAACATCAAGAACAAGAGGTTGAACAAGTATATCAAGCACGCGCCTACGGGTCCTTACGCCCCAAATTGACAAAATTGGCAGGCAACTTGACTGAAATTACGAATATTGACAAGGTGTGCCCAGGCAATCATGTACATGCACCTTGGGGATTCAACTGCATGGTAACAAACATGGTTTTGCAACTGCGTTAGAAGTACATTATCCTGCTCCACTTTGTGATGTCATTGCCGATACCATCGCGTTAGCCTTGCGCAAATGCAACATAACACCTGCAGCACCACTGTCTTTGAACCAGACTGCTCGAGCAATCTCCCGCGTTCAGGCCGGCACTGCAAAGGTGCCACTTTCTTGCCAGAATTTGGCATCAGCAATTTGCAATTGTTATCAGCCTCTGGCATCAGCAATTGCATCAGCAACACAAAGACCGTTTTTTCATCAACCTCTTCATAAGGCTGCTGCAGAACAATGTGCCTAGAAAGTCTGTGCGTTGTCAGACGGCAACATAGTAATATTCACTGAGGCGTGCTATGAACGCGATGATCCAACATGGCCGTGTGGGCTTGGTGGTGTTTTATGCAGCAATGGTGACGTGTTTTTCTTTTCTCTGCCAGTTGAAAGCTGCAGCAGAAAGGTCCGGGGTGAGATGGATAAGAAACAAATCATATTTGAGGCGGAAACTTCGCAACTGTAGTGGCTTTCCAACAAGCGTTGCACAATGTTTGTGAACAATGAAGGTACAAAATTTTCCCTTCTCAAAGGCTCTTCTGAAAATCTCACAGTTGATGCGCTTGCTGGTTTCTTTGCGGAACAGGAGGCCCATGTACACGCCTTCACATGGCTAGCGCGTGTGCCTTCGAAGAGCAAAATAGCTGATCCTCCTTCACGGAATGATATCAGTTTTACATTCTTCAATCAAACTACAAATGTATCAAAGGACGATGCAAACATCATGCGTGCACTTGGCACCGGATTGGATGAGAATGGGGAGAAAGGCTGCGTGACAAGCCATAGTGGGAAAAATAGAAGCAGCGATGATGTGACATGAACCGGTTTGCAGAATAATGTACATGTCACTTGAGACAGAACCTTATGAATGCAAATGCATGTTGCCGACATGCCTCTCAAGGGAGGGTGGGAGGGTTTTTGCCGATCGCATCCAGTCGACCCACCACTTTCCCCTTGCACCACCTGGACAAGGTCAACATCTGTTTCCATGCCTGACCCTACAGCCCTACAGCCTAAGAAATGCTGCATGACAAACCATAGTGGAAAAAAGCAACGCTGATGTGACATGAACGGGTTTGCAGAATAAATCAAAACTCCCAAAAGTCATCCTTGCAGGTGCGCACCAGCCTGATGCTACGTCATGAGAATTGATTTTTGCCCTCCCACGACTACTTCCTGTCCCGTTACATATTCTTCTTCGTGCAATGTCGTAACTTTAGAGATTGGGGAGTGGTTGGTTGGGGAGTAGATTGGAAGTTTGCTTGGGACAAGAACGTCCTTGCACTTGCACCGCCTTCTTCCAACCTGTCCAAAACTATTTTCCCTGATGCCACGTTCTTAGATCTTCTCTTGCATTTTCAGCGGCGTTGAAAGGTTTACAACGCTTCACAATCCTGTTACATCATGAACTACATGCAGTTGGACTGCGTTCTATGTTAAAAGAACTTCTCTTGCACTGACTGTCACATTCCCACCTCAGAGTTTCATGATCTATTTTCAGAGTTTCACAATACAAGTTTCACAGCCCCTCCCCGAGTTTCACAATCTGCCTTGAGTTTCAAAAAACAAATTTCAAAATTTTCCCGTTTCACAATCTGGTTTCAGAGTTTCACAATCTCACTTCAGGGTTTCACAATACCATTTTGAAATTTCGCAATACCAGTTTCACAATCCGTCCTGCGAGTTTCACAATCCAACCTCCAAATTTCACAATCCAAGTTGCAGAATCCGTCCTGCAAATTTCGCAGTCCGTCCGTCAAGTTTCACAATCCGACGTTGACCGGTTTTCAGCCTCGGCGATCTCAGGGTCGCAACATGGCACTTGTTCGCTAAATTTGGTGCGTTTTTTAGTTGATTTCCTTCATTGTCAGATTTTTAAATAAAATGTTTGTTTTGTTTGGAAGGGGTTCTTCCAGACCCGCAGTGACTTTTATTAGTGTTTTTCTTAGTGCAAAGGCTATTGCATGCCGGACAAAGATGTTTTGTTTCAAACAACATGTTTTTTCAAAAAAATGTCAATTGAAACGACAGGTTGAACCGGAATCTAATTCCGCAGAATGGATTGCCATGATGTTCTGGCCAACATCCCGGTTGTTTTTCGTCCCGGTGGGCAATGCGACCAATGCGATTGAAAATTGGACAAAATGAAACTAGCGTATTTATATACCAAAAAAATGCAGATGTTTCAAAAGGGTGCGCATTTTTTTTTTTGGTCGTCCAGGCTCCCTTCCTTGGTTTTTGCAACTAAAATCACTCATTTGCTGCATTTTGTAGCTAAAATCTCTCATTCGCACTGTTCATCAATTTTTCGACTGGTTTCAGTTTTTTTTTCAATGGTTTCTATCGAGTTTTCCATCGTTTTCATTGGTTTGTCCATGATTTGCATGGTTTTCTACAGTTTTTCCATGGTTTTCTTCAATTTTTCCATAGTTTTCTATGGTTTTCTTCGATTGTCTCCTGGTTTTCTTCAATTTTGCCATAGTTTTCTTCAATTTTCCATGGTTTTCTTCAATTTTTCCATGGTTTTCTTCAATTTTTCAATGGATTTCTTCAATTTTTCTATGGTTTTCTTCAATTGTTCTATGGTTTTCTTCGATTATTCCATGGTTTTCTTCAATTTTTCAATGGTTTTCTTCATTTTTTCTATGTGTTTCTTCAATTTGTGCATGGTGTTCATTCAGTTTTCACTTGTTTTCATTTCTGGTTCCAGAGCTTTCCATTGATTTTTACATGGTTTTCATTGTTTTTTATTTAAAATTTCATTTATTTTTGGAAATACACGATGTGCAAACTACAAATTGTAGATGTAAAGAGGTTTATATATATATATATATGCATGACTAATCATGACCATTTGTATATGTAGATCAGTGCGTTTACACGTGTATTTAATATATATATATACATATATGCAGGGTTTGGTTTAGGGTTTATTTAGGGTTGGCTTAATGGTTTCTTCTGGATTTGTTTAGGGTCTATTTAGGGTTGGGTTAGGGTTTTTTTAGGGATACAACATGTACATACAAATAGCTATAATTACGTGATTATTTATAGTCTATTTTGGGATCAAAGCTGTGTATAAAAACCGCCACAAATATATATATATATATATATATATGTCTGTATATCGAAAAGTAAATATGCATGTGTATTTTTATATATACTTATAGATACATACTTATATATATACATTTATATGTATATACATATTAATATATGTATATATATATAAGTACATAAATACATATATGTATATATATATATGTATAAATAAATAAATAAATAAATAAATAAATAAATATGTATATATATATATAAAAGTGTATATATAAATGCAAATATATATATATGTATTTGTAAATATGTATATATATATATATATTTAAACATAAATATAAATATACTCGAATCAAACTAGTGCATTGAAAAGTGTGCAAATTTGAATTTACATAAATGTAAATATACTCGAATGAAACTAGTGCATTGAAAAGTGTGCAAGTTTTGAATTTAAATAATTAAAAAAAGCGGGAGGGGGGGGATTGGGGGGGAGGGCGCAGCGCCTCCCCCCAAAGCAGATTGGAAACACCTATTTTCACATGCAAGGTGCTGGGTTCAAGGTGTATAGACTACACGACATGCACCCTGGAAACATGTGGAATACAGATAAGGCACATGGTTTTCATGGTTTTTCCGAAGTTTCCATTTATTTTTGGAAATACACGATGTGCAAACTACAAATTGTAGATGTAAAGAGGTTTATATATATATATATACGCATGACTAATCATGACTATATGTATATGTACATCAGTGCGTTTACACGTGTATTTAATATATATATATCTATATGCAGGGTTTGGTTTAGGGTTTATTTAGGGTTGGATTGGAAACACCTATTTTCACATGCAAGGTGCTGGGTTCAAGGTGTATAGACTACACGACATGCACCCTGGAAACATGTGGAATACAGGTTAAGGCACAACGATGCACAATAGTTTCATCGGATGTTCTCATCGTGTTGGTGAAAAGTGTGCAGATTTGTTTAGGGTTTATTTAGGGTTGGATTAGGGGTTATTTAGGGATACAACATGTACATACAAATAGCTATAATTACGTGATTATTTCTAGTTTATTTTGGGATCAAAGCTGTGTATAAATGTATGTGTATTTATATATATATATACTTGTAGATACATACTTATATATATATACATTTATCTCTATATACATTTATATATATATAAGTAGATAAATAAATATATATATATATATAAATTATATATATATAAGTGTATTTATAAGTGCAAATATATATATATATATAAATTATATATATATATATATATAAAAACACTTTTACCACCAAAAGCCACGGAAAGGAAAAACCAAAAGCCAAAAGCCAAGGAGCCAGGACCAAAAATATATATATATTTTTTTTAAAAAAAAATCCCAACAAAAATGGCCCTCCGTTTCAAAATGGCGTTCTGTTGAAAATTATGGTTACAAAATTCAAATTGCGGTCGGGCCAGCCCAAGCAGAGATTTGGTGATGATGAACCAACATTCATGCAAACAAACCAGGTCATTCCAATGTTTCTCTTCGACAATATTTTTGGTCAGTGACAACTATAAGTCTATAAGCGGATATTTTGCCTCGCCGAATCAACAAAACTTGTGCTACTGCATAATTTTTTTTGGCCATTCAATCTTTTCATTTTCGCCAAATGCCCCGCAAGAGCAATGGACGAACGGTGGTGCTTTGGTGGCTGTTGGAAAGGTTGCAGCCGCTCGCTTCGCAATGACGCAGGTCGGTTCGAGGCACTCAATGATCATGAAATCCAAAGTGTACGTGCTGCCTCCATTTCATCCATGACGGTTTCTTGGTGGCACTGTGTGTTTGTTTCCACATTTTAAGTTTTTCATCGTTTTGCGCATCAAAGTGGGGTCTCCGATATTTTGAAAAATAAAAATAACATAAATAACATATATGCAAATGCAGGTCGTGTCACAGTTCATCCTTGAACCCACTAGCCATGATCGATATGATAGGTCTATGCGGGACCATGTCCGGAGAGATGGCTTCGCACTCGGGTGGCCGACATCGTTCGTTCCAACTTGTGGCTTATTGGACGTCTGAAAAACAACCGTGGTAAGGTGGCGCTTTGGATTCCGTTTGAAGGTGCCATGGATTATAGAAACTGTCTGGAAATAAAACATATTGTGAGAGAAACCGACTCAGATGATATAGACTTTCCAGAGTTACTGCCAGAGTTCTGGGTGAAACCTGGGGTTGCAATAGTAGATGCGGAGGAACACATCTTCAAAATTGTGGCACTTGTTGAAGCTTCGAAACAGCGCTGGCATTTGCTGATGTCAATGTCGCATGTGGTGGCTGACGCTCATACATTCTACATGATTCACAACATGATGGACAAAGCAGCTGCAGTATGCCCCATGGAGGTGAAACGCAGGCATTTTAGTCCGATCTCATGCCTTCCGGGGGTGCCATTCCACTGGAAGTGGTTCTTTTGGTTTTTGAATCAGACTCGGATTGCTTTGCTGCGCCAGAAGAACCAGGTTCTGAACATCCGCATGCGTTACGTCAACATGGATTGGGTGGAGGAACAGAAAAAAAACTTTGCCGCAGAGCCAGATGCTCCTTTCATTTCGGCCAATGATTTGTTAACCTCTTGGTTCTTTCGGGAGACCAAACCTGCATGTGGTGTGATGATGCTGAACATGAGGGGGCGAATGGAAGGCCTTGAAGATGAACATGCAGGCGTGTACTCCACCATGCTCATTTTCTATCCCAATGAGTACCAGTCGCCTGCCAATATCCGGCGTGCAATTCAGAGAAAGTCTCCAGCATGTACACTTGAGGGAAGGCAGCAATGGCCGGGCCGGGGCGGGAAGTGTGGACTTGTAACTTCATTCCACACTTTCAATCGAGATTTGCAATTTGATGGCTGCACACAACAGCTACACGTTCCAAGCGGCGCAAGTGGCGATGAAGCTCTGCAAAGTCCTTCTGCAATCATATTCCGTCCGTCGTCGGATCAATTAGCAATGGTGACCATAACGGAAGAAGAACTTTCTTCTGGCCCCCTAGGTACAGATGTCCTTGTTGGCGCCATTGACGCCAGGAAGCTAAGCGGAGCAGAGAAAAAAACTGCAGTGAGTACAGTTTGTCTTTTGAATTGCAAACTTTTTGATACAGTACATGTCCTTTTGCATGTCAGTTGAGTAGCCAACAGGCAGCGTTGAATGGTGTAAGCTTGTACGTAGTTTGCGCTGGAATTCTGACTCGAGAAGTCGAGACTACCACCATATCGATGGTTTGGATCATGTTTTAAATATACATAGCTGTGGACAAAAATGGGATAACGAACAACCATGAACAACCCACAAATTGGAAAATAAAGATAAACTAGCCACATAATCCATACTTTATTGATATTTTTCCATAATTTGAAAAATGTTCCCCCATATCTTCCACCTCTGAGCTGGAAAGAAGACTTCCAAGCCCGCGCAGTTTTCGTGGCTTTATGCTTATGAAATCTGGTTATGCAAACGGGTACCAGTAAACTAACATAGCTATGGTATAGATGGCCTTTACCTACAAAAAATGTTGATTCTCCATGGCTACATTAAACTACGAGAGGGTAATGTGTAGGTAGTGAGTCTGATTCGACTTTCTCTGCATCTGAGGCTTGATGTGTACAACATGCAGGTACCAAGGGAAACTTTCTGACAAATTGCAGTTGGCTGGCTCAAAGCAGAATGGCTTCTTGACGACATGAGATATTAAAGCAGTCTCACAACCAGGTTAAATTCATCGCTTTACATAAGAAAGGAGGAAATATGGCGAAACAAACACGTGAAACCAATTTTTTGCTGGTTTCTGGACCCTGTTTCAGGCCATCTGAGGGCAGGTGCATGAGCCTTCATTGCCTCTCACAGAGCTTGACCAATTTCACAGTTTCACAACATTTGCGCACGCCAGAGTCTTGTGTGCTGCAGTAACCAGGCATATTTGGGTAGAGTGAAGGGCGTGCTAGTTCAGGGGAGAACGAATGTGATGGATGGATACATTTGGGGGAAAGGTAGCTCGAAGGCAGCCAAAAGGGCTTGATTTTGAATCTTGAGCCTGTTGACGTGAAAACAAATCCGACAAAGTGTTTATGCCTACGGCAGGAAAACCGTACGTGCGTTTTGCTTCTTTTTTGAGTATTGCTCTTTGTCTTGGGGTTGGGGTGGGGTGGGGTGGGGGGGCATGTTAACGTTCCTTGTACTTCGTACATGATATATTGCCATGTTAGTGTGGGTTGGGGTTGGGGTGGGGTGGGGTGGGGGGGCATGTTAACGTTCCTCAAACTTCGTACAGGATATATTGCGATGTTGCTAAGATCTCTGGGATCGTTTACTATGTGACATGTTGCTACGCTGCTGAGATCTCTGGGATCTTTTACTACGTTACATGTTGCTACGCTGCTGAGATCCTTGGGATCGTTTACTACGTGACATGTTGCTACGCTGCTGAGATCTGGGATCTTTTACTACGTTACATGTTGCTACGCTGCTATCGTTTACTACGTGACATGTTGCTACGCTGCTGAGATCTCTGGGATCGTTTACCATGTTACATGTTGCTACGCTGCTGAGATCCTTGTGATCGTTTACTACGTGACATGTTGCTACGCTGCTGAGATCCTTGGGATCGTTTACTACGTGACATGTTGCTACGCTGCTGAGATCTCTGGGTTCGTTTACTACGTAACATGTTGCTACGCTGCTGATATCTCTGGGATTGTTTACAGAGGAATACTCATACCTGGATTTGTTAAAAATCAATAGATTTTGCATCCACTTTTTTTAACCCAAATTCAGTTATACAAACTGATCGGAAGAGCATTTTATATTGTAAATTACAGGTGATTGTGACTCTCCTGGAAGCAACCAATCAAAACGCTCGCGCGGTTTCCCTTCCGCCGGGGTGTTTATGAATGGCAGAGCCAAACGTCTTCGCTAGGTGGACAGGAGAGTCAGAACTTGTGTCAATGAAACCTCCTGGTACCGAAGAACTATTAGTAATTGAAACATTGTAAATCATGGTTTGGTTGAGCTGCCTATGACATAATGTTTGCAACTTCTGGCAAGTTGAGGAAAAAACTGATTCGCATGAAATTCAATCTGATTCTTTTGCACCAGCCTGTTGCCGAGCGACAGATACGACCTATGCCCACTCAGAAAGTCTTCAACAGCTGCGCTGAATTTGCTGAGAAGGCTGAGACTTGGGCCGCTGGCTATGATGGAATTTCCAGATATGCAACGTGTCCCAAAAATAGGCTCCGCGGCTCCGCCAAAATCCAGTGGTTTATCATTATTTTCCCACGAAACATGCTTTCAATCAGCAGTATACTGGTATACCGGTATACCCGTTAAAGTTAACGTGCCCAATTTCTGGACATATTTCCCCATTTGCGAAATTTAAAGCCTCAGCACTGGTGGCGAGTGCTTGAAAAATTGGGGTGTTCTTTCCGGAGGAAACATGGTGGGAATTGGGAGCTGGCTGTGGATATTTCTGCATGGTTGTTCCCTTGCATAATTGTGCGTTTGTGAAGGTACCCCAGGTACCCCGTATTTTAGTGGTGTTCTTGCCATGACTTTTTCCGAAGCTTACAGCCAAACTTGCTCCGGCCAATGTTTGACAACAATCGCCGTTTTTCAGGTGAGAAAATTGAGATGGTTCCAGATGGTTCCAGATGGTTCCAGAGGTAGTCCCCCCCGTCTGTGCTTTCCGCCATTTCCGCCATGACAGGATCACTTCCATTCTGATCCTCTCGTGGCGCACCTCGCCCTGAGACGCCTCGCCCTGGATGTGATCTATGTCTATGTCCGATGGCAGGACGCCGTTTGGTGAGGAGATTTCTCCATAAACCCGCTAGAATCCTGTGAAAAAAACATATCTAGAAATAGTGGATTAAATTGATTGGAACATAACTTATCTAAGATTTAAAAGGTATGCTTTCATATGGTTCTATCTTATGCCAGAGGTTCGTGGCAGTTTAAGGTGGCAAGTTTGGTGGCAAGTTCGGTGGCAGTGGCAGTTACTCCCGTGAAATCTAACCTGGGCCCAAAAAAAAAAAATCCCGCTACGTTAGCGTGATTGAAGAGTTGGCAATGAAGAGTTGGTGGCAATGTGGGGGCAGTTTCAGTGGCAATGTGGGTGGCAGTTTCAGTGGCAATGAAGAGTTGGTGGCAGGTTTGATGGCAGAATGTGATGGCAAAAATGGGGGCAATCGTATTTTGGTGGCAAAGGGGGTGGCAACTTTGCATGGCAAAAATTGAGCCGGAAGTTTAGCAATCACATTTTGGTGGCAGCAGAGGTGTCAAAATTAGATGTCAGTTTTTTGGCAGAAAAGCTTGCAAACACCTTCAGTGACAAAAAGGCGTTTGAGTGTACATGGCACATGTTGACAGAAAGGGTGTGAGAGACTTTTTGGCGGCAAATGGGCTGGAAAGTTGATGGCAAAAGTTTTGGCAAAATTTCAAAATTTAGGGCAACATCAATTAGACAAAAAACATAGCAGCCCTATTGCACCTTCGACGGAGGCAACACCCACCGACCCTATGAATAAAACACGAAGCCAAGCAATATTTGATACGCTGGGATGTTGTTTTCAACAATCGCTTTGCTGGTGGCGCAAAAGCAGCTTCAGCCCAGCGCACGCTTCTCCTTTCAAGGCAATCCGCAATAGTTTTTGGTTGCCATCATTGCTCGTCAAAAAATAAGGCCAATTTTTGCCAAAAATAAGGCTTATTTTTGCAAAAATCGACCTTATTTCTTGACGGGCAGGTAGGCAGCTGCCTGGGCAAAATTTTTCTCAACATGTTTTTCTGTGCCCCACAATGTTCCAGCATGGCTCAGACACAGAAAACCATTAGACAAAAACACAACCGAAAGGAGATTGCTGACCAAGTGAACTGTAAGCACACCAGTTTTTGAGCACTAAGTTTGATCATTTGAAGCCACAGCCATCTGATTGAAAATGGTCACTTGCTTTGCATACGGCGCAATTTCAGAAGCCGCTTGTGCACGCCAACGGCTGCCTACAATATCATGTGGATATGCAATGTGCCTTCTGCATTTCCCAGTGATTTCCCACTTACGTGTCCAGTCTCTAGCCCTTGCCACAATTTGGGCCATAGCTTTGCCACCTGTGTTGCTATTGCTTTCGCCCGCAATGCAAGTTTGCCCTTTCGTTGCCACCAGTGTTGCCAAGGGCTTTTGCTCGCAACCCAAATTTTGCCATTGAATTTGCAGCCCGTGCTATTACCCCGCCACGTATTTGCCCGTGTTTTTTTGCTACCGATGTTGCCATTACCTTTGCGCCCGTCGTTTTTTTTCCATCCGTATTGCCCTGCAGATTGCCACCGCCATGCCACTGCCATTGCTTTTGCCCTCGAGGTTGCCCTGGTTGTTGCCATCAAATTTGGGCGCCTAATAGAGCATTGTTCTTGAATTTTAGATAAAACATAACATATGAAATGATGTTCTTACTTTGGATTTTGGGGTTCCAAGGGGTTTGTATTTAGAAGCGAAGATCTTTTGAAGGAATTTTAGCGGCGCTGCTTTGACTTGAGCCAAGAATAGCTGGCAAAACTTCTACACTTCCTGTCCTGTCATCCTGAACGTTTGGTTTGGGATGGTTTAGGCCAAAAAAAGTGGTGTTCTTTTGGTTGATTCTGGAGCCATGGAATCCATGGTGGTGAAGGTGTACAAATCTGTACCTGCTGAACCGTCCTTTGATGCCTTTGGATGGTACGGCCCATGCTACGCAGTATGCTATGCAGTATGCTACGCAGTATGCTACGCAGTATGCTACACATGCTACGCTACGTACTTGACATCAGGGTACCAACCGCGGGGTTTGGTTGAAAATGCAGCACACTGCGTAGAGTAGAGCATTTGTTGATTTCTTCACAATGGTTCATCGAAAACCTTTGTTTTTGCGGTCTATGAGTGATTCGATGACTGATGATGACTGTATGACATTTGGGTTTCCTAGTGTCGTTTTATGAACTTGCGTGGAACCATGCTGTTCACCGTAGCACCGGTGGCAAGTACGGCAGAGGTAACTGTGTCGGATGGGGTGGGAGGTACAGGCTGTGGGTCGCAGTGGGCGCAGGTGGGGAGCTCATAACTCTTGCCATGTCAGTTTTCAAGTTTTTCAAGTATTCTT